AAATTAAAACCTTGTCAATTAAATTAAAACTCCATTCAGAGACCATTAGGACCCTGAAGTTAGCGTCAGGAACTTATTTCAGTTTTTTAGAGATAAAAATGTCTACGCTAACTTCAGAGATCTAATACCTTCAGCAAAATATACTATAAATACTTTTATAGTATAATTTATACTGTAAGTAAGGAACTAAAATATCAATTTTCAAAATTTCGTTTGAAGAAATGAAAGAAGCGCACGGAAGCGCTAGAGTCATCGAAAAATGATTTCCATTATATAAAGTAATATCGGTCTTTAAAAACGAAATCGTGACACAAAGCTCTTGAGGAACCCGGGGTCCAGAACGATATATCGAATTACAGGGTCCCATTTCGATCATCCTTTCGGAGGCTCCAAAACGAATTGATGCGCGTACCGCACCTTCATCTCTCGCGCAGACCGGTTCTTGTAAAGGCAAATTCTTCAAAGATCGCGATCGTGCATTCATGGGAAAAGAACAAAAGAGAACAATATGTGACACCTCGTTGCAAGGGTCTCAAGAAAGAAAGAAAAAAATTCACAATTCAATGATTATGAATGTCTCCTTTTCTAATGCAAACTGACATCGCATGTGTATAGTTTTGTCCCACACCCTTAAATTTTCATAACCAAAAGTGTTATACCCATTAAGATGGTTAGATTCTAACAAAAATGGTCAACTGATTTAGAAAAGAATTGCTAATTGCTAATTAGCTTCTGAAGTATTAATAAGCTAATTTTATCATAGAACTCATTAAATTTAAAATTTGAACTTAGATCTAAAAGTACGATTTTTGATTCCTTGGTGAAATTGAGATTAGTTTATAAATTATTAATATGAGGAAAAAAATTAAGCGCACACCTCACGTGTTAGGTTTACGTGCAGCATAATGCAGAACTTGAGGATACTTAATGATTATATCTCAAGGAAAATCTATAGACTAAAATTTATCACTTTATATATAGAAAACATGGGAAGATATTAGATACCGATTTCTTGACACTGTTTATCGCTTCTGCTGAAGAACAAGCCTATTAGTCACAATCATTTACCCAGTGAACGTAAATGATTTCTTCTCCCCTTCCTTCCAATTCCAATTAATCTACCTCTACCAATAAGCTATCATTATTAAAAAGCAATCTATCAATATAGTATATCAAAAAAGTATATTCTGTAGAATATAGCTGGTTTCATAGATTTTATTCTATTCTGTAAAATCCTACGTTATTATCGATTCGTGATTTTATTCCAGTATTATAGAGACTAGAATCATCATTATACGCACGGGAAAAAGAAATAAAGTGCACTTTACTATATGCTTTCATGGTAACACGTAAAATTTCTGGAAATGTGCCTCTCATTTCTAGACATCAATTTTTTTTATTATTTCCAGAATAAATTTTACTATTTCCGAAATAAAATTTACTACTTCCGAAGTGAATTTTAGTACTTATATCCGAATCTGAATTAGAGGAAAAAGTCCACTAATTTTTATTAGTACTCCACTAATTCAGATTTAGACGCAACTAAAAGGACTTAATAAAATTTTACTATAATTTAAAGAAAATGTGAGAATATTCAGAAGGTAGTCTAAAGAGTTAAGAGTAAAAAGTATAAAGAGAGTAAAATTTAGTATTTAGAGTAAAAAACTAAATTCGAGTATATATCAATTATCAAAATTCGAATAAAAATCAAACATACAATAATTGCAAGCAATTCCCATTACATAAGTCGTCAAAAAAAACGAATCTTCCAAGCGATTAAGCCAATCAAGAGTTCATGACACGTTTATCAATAATGAAAAGAGGAGAAATAAACGGATGCACCAAATCTTTTTTTTTTCTTCTCTTTTTCTTTTTGTAAATGACCTTTCGGACTTGAGACTATACATTAAATGGTAACAGACCAAGAGACCTTTAGTCCCAATTGATTAGGCAAGGATTATGGTATAGATGCGGTGGTTACTCTTTAAGAGTGAAGGTCACGTAAAGCATCCAACGAGCAACTTTTATAATCACTGTAATTTTCCCCACGAAGAAAATCGTACCACGAGAGAGAGAAGATGGAATATATACATTCGTACCAATGCTAAAATTACACATTTATGACTAACAGCATAAAAAAAGGAGTACTCGGAAAGAAAAATTTGAAAAAACCACAGACATGCAGATTGTTCGATGACAAATATTCTCTTATGAATAGTTTGCTAATCGCCTTTCGGAGAATGAATACAATCCTAATCGTCATATTTTTTACTCTGGAAAAATTTACTCTGCATGATTATATCCAATAAATTTTTACTCTAGATGAATACATCCAATAAATTTCTACTTTGGATGATTACATCCAGAGTAAAAAAATAAGAGAACGATTCGTTTCAGTAAAGTTTTAAGGACTACGGATATCATAAGTTCCGGATATTCTTAGTACTTCCGTAAGATCCTGATGCTGTTATATTGGGTATAGTTCCTAAAACCGTTGCGGATTGCTGACAGTACTAACATCTGTTAGTTGAAACATGTATTGCGAAAGGGTTGCTTAATACGATTCAAAATTAGCACAAAATGTTTACCTAAAACAACCAGAAACTAAAAAAGTGAATAAAGAATTTTTTTCAAAATTCATTAGTCATTTAAACGGGTGCAATGCACCACACCTAGTTTAAAAGAATGTTTTCACATCCGTGTGAGTACAGAGTTATATATATGAGTCACGTGTTTTAAGTGCTAGTGGTGTGTTATACTAGAGTCGCGACTTATGCCAGTTTATAAATGTATGAGTGTATGTTGTACACGTATATAGTGTCGCGTTGATAACTAAGGCATGTGTTGTCGACGAAGGCACATTGCCTATTACGTGGATTGTGTGACACGTCGTCGTTGTCGGCAGTGCCCGGCGTCTCGATGTCACCATGTGGTGCAACACATATTTTCAGGTGAAGTTGTGTATATTTCTCTCGAAACATTTTACCAGAACGTGGCGCCACCGTTTGTGCCAGCTCTTTATAGAGTACTTGTGGGGGAGTAACATGCGTGCGTTATAGATAGATACTGGGCCAGGAGAACTTGGCGATTCTCAGAAGAGACAAGATACCATTTCTGTAATTCCTATTTAAATCCCCCTGCCTGGAACTATATACAAGACGATATAATAAATGTATACACACTACTGTGATATATTATTCTCTTTTCCATCATAAGATAATGATTTTGTCAATGCACATTGTATGAATAATATATTTATACTATCTATTTATAAAGAGACACCATCATAACACAACCCCTTTCTTAATTCTCTCTTTCTCTCTCTTTTTTTTCGAGAAATTTTCGCATGTTTAATGAAAGAATATCACCCACATAAAGAGAGTCCATTTATTTCCTGACTAGAGACTTGATATTTCATGTGGGTAGACAGATGGATTCGTTTTTCAGAATACAACATAAATCAGAAGTATTGAATATAATATTTTTGCATATTGTGTTTGTTGCTTAAACATTTAGCCCACGCTATAGCTTTAACATAATTTCTAATCCCTTACCACAATATTTAAAAATGGGAATTAATATGTATACAGCATTTTGAAATTAATTGCCAAGAATCAAAAGTGTGCGAATAGTAGAAAAAAAAAGATTAGACATAGCTTCCTGTTCAAGTAAAAGACCCGATAAATTACATCCTTATTTGTCTGCGTCTGTCTCTCCCCATTCAGCAATTTAAGTACTGTATCCAGGTCTTCGAACTGACTTCTCGACAATCGGACTAAAGAGAGATTAGTAAAACCACCATATGCGGGCACCCGAATTTATTGAGTACTGTATTATTATTTCCCCGCGTGAATTAATAAGCCTATGGAATTTAAATTGTCTCATGGGAACAGAAATATTCTGCATTTGTAAATTGTATTAATAGCCGCATTGGCATTCAAATTGAAGAAAAATGCTCTTATTAACCGGCATTATAGTGGTCAATAAAAAGATGATGGTAAAGAATATAATGGTAAATAATGGCAAACAAAAATAATAAATAATGGTAAATAGTGGCAAATAAAAATGGTAAATAATGACAGCTAAAAATGGTAAACAAAAAATACCGGTAGATGAAAAATAAAAACAATAATAACAAAAAAATGAGAATGTAATAACTACGATCACACTGAACGAATTTAATATTATTTCATATAATTTCGAATAAAGCTGACATATTCAGAAAGCGAAGAATTCCATAACACGCACAATGTGACCTTGTAAGAGCAGACAAAATGGTTTTAAACCCATATATATGCTTTAACTTATACAATATAACATAAATAATATTTTCCTTATCAGTATATAGGCGCCGAAAAGTCAAACTTAAATTATAAATTTAAATGTCAGCGGTATTTAAGATAAACTTTTTCGATTCTAAACTTTTCTTTTTCATCGATAAAACAATTAATTTGTGATTAATGAGAAAAGGAGAGTAACTTAGAAGGGAATGTAACTAATTTTACAAATAACCAACGTTACAATATGATGTTAGTTGCAATTAGGAAAGTAATGAGCATAAGAGAGGTGATATAAAGGACCACTGATAATGGAAAAACAAATAAAGTAAAGATAACGAGTCGTTACGGAGGCATCAAGAAATAATGGAAGCAACAAGTAGCAATAAAGATAAAATGAACAAAGTAACGGAGAATCGAGGAAGTAAATAACAACCGTGTATTTCTCACCTCTGGATTCAAAAATGATTCAAAGATGGAAAAACAATTCAAAACTGATTCAAAAAAGATTGAAAAATAATTCAAGAATCCAATACTGGTAAGTAAATTTTTGATTTAACGGAAATTAAAATTAATAATTGTCATTTTGATTATACACAACTGAGTTCTGAGTTTCGGTTTGAAAACTTGATTGTCATCTTGACATGCAATTTATTTATGAACTTTCAAGTCAATAGAAGTTATTATTGTGTAAAAAGAAATAAAAATCAGAGAAAAACTTACCGGATTCGGAAGGTGTTTGAACTCCGAGATGTTCGAGCCTTTGGGTCACAGCCGGTTGATTGAGATGATAGCAATGATCGCTGAGTGTATGCCTAATGTCTGATTCCTCCTTAATGCTGTTTTCAATTTTAATCGATTTCCTCGGCGTTCGAACATGTTGACCCGTGACAACACTAACCGGCGCAGCCTTAACAACAGCATCGAGAAAACATTCCGATAGTTTTTCATTGATGCTAATCTGATCGTGTCTAAATATTGGTGGTTCATAATCTGATTCGGCGTCTGAATCAGTACTTTGCGGTGTTTCAGGTCTCGTTGAATCTCCATCACTCTCTAAACTTTTTGTTCGACAAAATGATTGTTGTTGTTGACTTTGTGCATGATGATGATGACGATGAGGTGCTATCGTTGTTGTTGTAGTCGCTGCTGCTGTCGTTGTTGTTGTTGTCGTCTCATTTTTTGGTATCAAGAGACTACGACCCGCTGGTACTTTTTTATGTACTTTAGGATTTTTCTTTGTTGCTATTGTACTATTGTGCTCTTTACTAATGCAAAGACCAGCCCACATACAATCATGATGTCTTATTTCAGACGAGCCTAAACAATCAGCACCAAAAAATGGAAAGTCATCAAATAGATTTTGACTCTCACTGTATTTTTGATAATCTTGAGTAAGATCGAGATCGAATTTCTTCCAAACATCATCGGACACTACTGTTGCACTATCTAAATGCAAATCGAATGCACTTAAACCATCCGCTGACCAAACTACTTGCATTTTGTCTGTAAAAACAAAATTCTCTTTTTAGAATTTTACCCTCATATAAATAAATAACAATTATAATAAAAAGAAATTGTAATATGTAAGTATATTAAAGAAAATTCGAATTAAAACTATAATTTCTGTCGCAATGCTTAATTATTTGGCTTCTTCGAGTGTCGATTTCTTCGCCGCGGGAGAAGATTTATTTCTCCTTTCAACTATACAAGTGAAATCAGCGCTATATGGTCGAATTGATCAAGGATCTTTTTTTCAACACAAAAAAAAAATGGTAAAAATTCCCCGCCAGTTAATAAATTTTGTAAATCAGATGGTTGGTGAAAAAAATAGTTAAATGTCGAGGGGGACTTTCTTTTTATTTAATTGGTTTCAGAAATTTTATCATTAATCAAACAAAATACAAGTTTATTATTTAAAGTTACAAACTTTCATTTCAGCAATCTTGAGACCTAGAATTTTTTTTTGTCGATCGGCTTTTGGGATGTAAAGCAGACAACAAAGATTGTGAATCATCAGTCATAACCGGTATATTAAATATCATATACATACGGGACCACACAAACAAGGTGTTTAGAAAAGGAGGAAGCATTTGTAGCCCGAAGAAATCTAGATTGACAACATAATGTTGTTAAATGTATCGATATCGTGTGTCAACGTCAAGAGCAATTCTACGTAATACCTTTATCTTCGCGCGTATATTTACGTGTAAACGATCGATGGACGAAAGAGGGCAACAAGGTAATTAGATGATTACAGGAGCATTATCTATAAACATATTCTGCTGCGATATTCCACAAACGGTTTATAACGTATGGCTTTAAATATTAAATTTCCATTCGACATACATATTTTGACCATCAAATTCTGTTTCAAGGTGAGAGAAAAAGGAAAAAACTACAGCTGTCTGTTTTTATTCTAAAATTTTTTTTTGGCAAATTTTTGATAAAAAAAAAACACTGCGTTAAAAATGATTTGCGGATTGATGATTCATTCAGTTTTAATTGCTTTTTCTCACGAAACGTTCAAAAGATCGCGAGGACCAAGATTCTTATCCAAACTCGGCAAAAGAGAGAGAGAGAGGCGAAAAAAAAATTTCCAAAAGAAAAAGAGAGAAGGAAATTCTAAAGGAGGGGTTGAAAGAAGCTTTGTGAGTCATTGGCCCGCAAAAACGTTATGGTTGAAGAAAAACAATGACAGAACCTTCCTTTTTTTTCTCTCTCTCTACTCTACTCTCCCTTTCTATTCCACACTTGAAGACTCTACCAAGAGGGGGGAAATCTTTTCAGTTTTTGGCAACAGCCAAAAAAAAAAGAACAAAGAAATTTACGTATTCCTCTTTTTTCCCTCAAAAAAAAAAAAAAAAAATCTTGAAATTCACTTGAACTTGTCAAACAATAGTTTTTCCACAAATCATTACAATTATGCAAAGGAAGAACGGAAGAAGAGGGAAATAAAAATGACAAGACTATCAAGAGAGAGTGGCAATTATTCATTCACCCCCTTGAGAAAGAAATCAGCGTCCTTCACAAATTAACCGAAGAGCACTGCATATACAGTGTTGCAATTCATGTTTTCTTTCTACTTGTTTATCTTTACGAGCAAAGCGGGTCACGATCTCTTATACAATACACGGTGGTAATGAAATCAGTCACGGTTTTACTACCACATATACAACACGAAACTAGGAATATGTATGATGATAAAAATTTACAACCAAGTACACTTATCAATATTTTTACTTTTACATTCATTGTTATAATTATTATCATCATCCATATTTACCTGTACAAGAGAATTACTACTTTTGTGCCAATTCTTATCGCGCAAATAAACTACACTATCAACATTCTAAAATCCTTGAGAAATTTTCTCTCCTATAGCAAAAAAGAAGAAAAAAAACCACCTCCCATCTGCTTACAGATCCTGTCAGCACATTGCCCGTAAATAACGATCATCATAAATAATATTGGAAATAATCTAAATAAATGAAACGGGAATCTCCCGAAGAGGTTATCTTGTTATCTAAATGATATGCCAGTGCAACATTTGCAAGACACACCTTCCATTAATAAACCCCTTATCGTGATTAAAAAATTAAAAAAAAAATTGCCCGGGAAAAGAGAGAAAAAAAACTAGAGGAGAAAATTTACGCACAAAACTGATAGTAAAACAAAAATTTGACGATATTCTCTCTTTTCAACTCACAATCTTTCTTTCTCTTCTGCCTACGCGACATCGAGTGTATAAAACCGGTCCAAAGATTATAGAAGTTCCTGGACTTTCGCCGACAATAATTAATATACACAGTCGGGTTTTCAACTCCTTTATCGCAAATCGGGGAAAAAATTCCTAAAGGACGACGACAGCAGCTGATAGACGGAATACGAGTGAAAATCGATTGAGAAAAGGTCTTAAATAAAATGATTGAGTTAGAAAGTTGGATGCTGATAAAAAAACCCTTTTTTATCATTAAAAAAAGAAAAATGTAAATTTTAACAAATTTAATTTTTACAAATTCTACTATCTTTAAATAATTTTCCCCCGTCGTTGCTTTTTTTTAGGAAGTAAAAATTATCGCAAAACGTCACGAGAGAAAGAAACGCCCACTATTAAGGTAAAATTACTTTATTACCAGTACCACTTCACGAATATTAATAATTCAAATATTAAAACAGCTAAAACCGGTAGATTTTATTTTAATCTGCAGCAAATAATAAGAGATAATTTCCTGTAATTAGTTTTTGTTATCCCAGTTAGAAAGTTGACAAGCCATTTTATTTATGATTAGAGAGATAGAACATTAAAATTAAGAGAAGGTATTTAATATATCTGACGTGTTTACTTTTCGATATCTCAATTTTGAAAATATTTTAAACCATGACTGTTGGGAAATTTTTCACTATGCGAAAATTAATAAGAAATACGTAAATAATTTCAAATAAAAAGTGTCTGGGAAAATAATAAAAGACGAGATGGAAAAAAGGTCTCTTTCCAAGAAGCAGTTAAGACGCACCGGCACGATTTGCTTAGCATGCTAACCTTAATCTTGCAAACCTGTCGAAAGCCTCGAGCTAAGAATCGAAATTCCTAAAATGACGGTTAAAACACGGAGAAATCACAAAACCGCGAACGAATGTAATAACGCGCGCGCCATAAAAAGGAAAAAAAAATCACCTGCGACAACTAGTGTTTTTTCCCCCCCTCATTTCCCCACTTTGATTGTTAAACCGCGACAATTGATGACAAGCGTCATAAGTGATTTGAATACCAAAGTTTATCATTATTCGCAAAAAAAAGTAAGAGAAAAACTTTTTATTGATCTACTTTTTTCTAGTGGGAATCAAAGGAACAATATGCCGGCCGGCGTCTCCGCCAACCGTCGAAAATCCTCTCAAGACGCCATCATTTTTTTCACAATAAATTTAATTTACCAAAAATAAGTAATCATTGTCAACTCATACCAACCTTATTTCGAGACCTCTTGAAATAATCCAAAAAAATCACAGTTGCACTTTTGTCGCAGCACGAACAATTAATAACGTTACGCAAACCGGCCTCCCGGTTTGCCTAAAAAAAAATCAAATTCCCGGCGCGTTTCTTATTATAACGAGAATATATATATAACTAATAAGACAGCGGGAAACCACCAATATCAAAAAAAAAAAGTTTCAAACACAATTAATGTTTATCGAACAGGGAAAATTTCGAAATCGTTGAAAACCTTTTTTATTAATAACACACGAAATGATATTACTACGGTGAAAATTCACGATACTGAAGCTGTTCATTCTCAGCGAGAGGGAAAGGCTCAAGAAATATACCGTGTGGCGACCAACAAGTAGCCCTGTCTATACTTTAGGCCCGATTAAAGGCAACTAAACTGTTGGAGCGAGAGTGCCTTCCATCTTCCAGCAGACCCTTGGCCCCCACTCCCGGTAACCCCCCCGGCGCCAGGGCCGTCTTTCAATGGCGCCACTTCTCTTGCTCAATGTTTCACCGCCCCGCAATGAGTACATTGGACTGTCATAATCAACAATCGGTATCACACACACACTATATATAAATGTAAGTACCTGTCTTTTTCTATCAACTTGCTAAACATTATCTGTTATCAATAATGGACTAATCATGCTAAAGTGTCGGTTACACTTTTCATTGAAATTCAGACTTGATCGTCGACGCCGCCGCCTTTTAAATGGAAAATTTTACACCTCTTAACAAAACTGGATCATTCTGCAAAATTAACCTAAATTTATAATAATGTAAATATTTGGAGACATTTTTTGACGTTGACATGTTTTGACGTCATTTTTGCCCGACATTTTTTTTACATTTTCATTACAATTATAGTTTCTTAGAAACATGTTGATACGTACCTTTTTTTAGTACCGGTTTTAGTTTTTAGGTTATGTTTTTGTTTTTAGTTTTCTTAAAATCAGATTCACATGTTTTGACGTTAGTTTTGCATTTTCATGACCAAACATTGTTGATACATCCTTTTTTTAGTTCCGGTTTTATTTTTGAGGTTATGTTTTTGTTTTTGAGTTTTTTAAATCAGATTACCATTGTTCTGATGTTTTAGTTCCGGTTTTATTTTTGAGGTTATGTTTTTGTTTTTGAGTTTTTTAAATCAGATTACCATTGTCTGATGTCAATTTTTACATTTCATATCCAAACATTGTTGAAACGGTTAAAACGTACTTATTTTTTGTTCCGCTTTCATTTTTGAGGTTATGTTTTTGAGTTTTAGTCTTTTAAATTACGTGGGTTTGTAAAATATAATTGCCATATGTATTTTGACGTAAAATTAAATTTCCTTATCCAAATATTGTTAATTATTTTCTTTTAGTTTCGATTTACTTTTGAGGTTATGTTTTTGGTACCGAGTTTTTTGCAATATTACTCAGGTTTTTTAATTAAAGAATTGCAGGGTTGGGAGCAAAAACACCTCAGGTAAATTATTTACTTGCTTTTTACCGTAAAATACGTCTTATTTTACTCTACAAATTTTATGCCCAATGTATTGGGGGAGGGGGAAAAATACGTGTTTTCCGTGTGTACTGCCCGTAATATTGTTAATACGTAATATTTTTCCAAATTGTGAACCAGTTTTTTGTGTTTACGGCAGTTTGTAATATTGCACAATTAGGCGTAACTATTACGTCTTTTTAATTCTTTTCAGACTTCTTATATTAATTATAAAAAAAAATAAATAAAGAATTTTCAAAAAATCTATTGCATAAATATAACCGTTTATGCAAAAATGATTCCGTTGTGAACAAAGCATAAATAAAGTCACCTTTAGTTGTTTTACCTACCCAACCCTGGCGACAGTTTTTTAACAACATTGTTGAAATACACAGTGCAGAACTATTGTTGACAGTAATCGATCAGATGTTGAAATTGCTGCAAATAGCAAAAATACCATTAGTGAATTCGCAATATTGATAAAATTGAGTACAGTTTCGTTAAATATATTGGATAAGCAACTATTATTGCAAAAGGAAATTGTAGTGCAATAAATTGTCATCTCGTGTTCCGGTGAGTATATGTAAAACTATTTCTAACCTAAAAAATTTTTGTTTCGAGATGAGTCCAAAATTGTAAAGTGTATTTCTAATCTAAACCCTTGGTACTTTCTGCCTTTTTTTAACTTTCAATAACACGCTGGCGTGCATTCATTCTCCCTCCAACCTGTTGGAACCTGCACCGATTTCATGAGCGTTGCGCTCTCGGGTTTCGGGTAACAGCTGCATCCTCGTTTTCTTATATGAACTTTGCCCTGCACATTTTTAAGCGACGTTTTTTTTGTAGTTTGCTCCATTTTTTTGAAAGTTTGCTTTTCTCACTGTAGAGTCGAGATGAGTCTTTGTTAATAGTCTCTTTGTTACACGGTCGGAATGAAGTAAATTTATCCCCCGAGGGAGTGTAATTGAGAAATTTTTCGTAATTAGCAACATGTAGAATTGTCAAAAGTGTCTCGAGGGAATATTTTGTTCCTATTATGCGTAAAAGTGAGATTTTATAATCATACAAAGGTGAGTGTGAACTAATTTTCCACCTTTGGTGCATCAGGCGCTGGGCGCATGCGCTTATTTAACCTAACCTAACTTTCTTGTCAGTTTGCCGAGTGAAATCGCACTCGGAGTTTTTGTCGCTCCACACAAAGACGACAAAGACAGTTTAGATATTATAGTCTTATAGTTAAAAATATTCTTCTGAAAATTGGTGAAAAGTATTGTTTCAGTCACATTTGTGAGTATTTAACTTTTAAAAATTGACATTGTATTATATGCCACCAGGAGTTTCGAGATGTATAAATTAATCATTTATCGTTCAAGGTTGTTATATTAATCGTGGCAGTTACTTATTTATTTATTCCGAAACTTTTGGACTCATTAAGAAGAAACGTGTATGCGCAAATGTAGTGATCTTTTGTTATATTTGCACAATATGGTTTTAAAAAAACGCTTTTATAATCTTCAATAAATATTGATCGGTAAATTTTGAGGTTAAGTAAATTTATCAAGCTTGAATAATATTACACGATTTAATAAGTTCCTTTTTTATAAAATAATTTATAAAATTACATAAAATTAATACAATATTGTTCCATAATGACAATAGTGATAATAATAATCATAATAATAAAAATAATAACGATAATAATAAAATAATTAACATAATTTCCATTATAGTCAATAATATATGTGATTACTATATTATTGACAAAATATCAATTATATTAATTTTTTAATAATTTAATAATTACAAGACGTTTTAATAAAAGTCCCTTTTCATAGTGAACTAATTTATAAATTTACATATTAATTATTATTATTAGTATATTTTTTCATATTGACAATAATTATTATTCCAGAAATTTAATAATTTTCAAAAGTAATAAAATTCTTCGCAGAAATTCAATTATGTTCAAAAAAAAATTTTAAATTCTCGTCAAAATTTCAATTATTTTTAGAAATAATAAAAATTTCACAGGAATTCAATTTATTATTTACAAATTTTCTATAAATTTATTCGCAATAATTCAATTATTTTCATAAATAATAAAATTTTTACAGGGATTCAATTATTTTCGTAAATAATAAAATGCTTTTTAGGAATTCAATTATTTTCACAAATAATAAAACTTTTTGCAGAATGTCAATTATTTTTAATAATTTGGCAAAATTTTAACTATTTTCAAAAATTTTCTACAATTAAATGATTTTCCTTATTTACTATTTTAATAAAATTTTCTAAAAGAATTCAATTAAAATAAATTTAATAATTACTTTCATAATTTCATAATTAAATTTTTTATAAATTTCTTTACAATAATTCAATTCTTTTCACGAATAATAACATTTTTACAGGGATTCAATTATTTTCACAAATAATGAAACTCATCGCAGAATTTCAATTATTTTTAATAGAATTTTCTCGAAAAATGTAATTATTCTTAAAAATTTTATTAAAATTCGTCGAAAGAATTTAATTATTTAAAAATTTGTTGATAAAATTATTTATGAGATTTGAATTTTAAAAAACATTTAATTATTCAATAAATCATTTATTTTTGTATTTAAATAATTGAATTCCAGTAGCGAATTTTCTAATAAAAATTGATTTAAAAATGAATTTCAGCTAAAATTTTAGATAATAATTGAATAATAAAAGCAAGATAGCGTGAATTTTTAGAAATAATTGAATTTTGAAATTAATTTTTTTTGAAAAGTTTTCTAATGTATATTTATTTGATCAATTTACGAATAATTGAAATTCGTAAAATTGAATATTATAAACAAATGGATTTGAAAATTGTCAAAGAACTTTTTCGAAAATTAATTGCTTTAAAGAAGAGTTTTAATTAAAAATTCTTAAAAATAATAATTGAATTGAAATGATGAAAATTTTTATTATTTTATTATTTCTATATTATTGTCAAAATATAGCTAAATATTTTTTTTACAAAAATTAGATCAGATCGTACTCAATTGAATAAAAATAATTATTATATATTAATTTTTAATAGTAATTTTTAATAATTAAAAGTAATTTCCATTGTTAAATTATTTACTTGAGTAAAATAATTTTTGAGTCAATTAAATTGTATTTAAGCCAATAATTTCAGTATTTGAAGCAAACACCAATTTAATTGACTCAAATAAAAATTATTTGATTCATGGTAAATATTTAATTAATAATAATCAAGTAATTGGTTATTTGAATCAAATAAATTTTTTTTCAGTGTATATTATTGTCAAATTATTACAAATATTTTTTTTACAAAAATTAGATCAAATCGTACACAATTAATTTAAAATTATTTTTATATTAATTTTTTTAATTAATAATTCTTTGAAATTTAAAATTTAAGAAAGGAACATTTTTCTGCGTATACTTTTCTGGTAGTTTTAACGTATTATGGTAATGCAGTTGATCTTTCGAAAGTGAAAAATCCTTTGTGATTTTTGGGTATTGCAGGTCTGAACAGGAAAATTTTCCTTCTATTGTGCGTGATTTTTTTCTATGTTGTATTTATTATTTTCACAAAAAAAGAAAATTGAAAAATTATCAGTAATAATAGTTTTTTTCTTTTTACTGAATTACGATAATTTGTTAAAAATAGTATATTTATTATTTTTGATCACTTTTCCAAGAATTGTATTAAAATAAGTGCCTTTCGCTTATTGTTAATAAATATTAATGACTGTATGTATATATTATATACAGGGAAGCTCATTATCAGCCCTTGACACAAAAAACAATAAGTTACACAAGAGAAGGCATGTTTTATAAAATTGTTGATAGCGTTACGTCTCGTTGGACAAGTGCCGTGAAAAAGTGCGCGCGGAACCTTCCATCCTTGTGTGACAAATCACGGGGA